GAAGCTTTGGGTTGGATGTTGAATCAAATTTATATCAAGACTACAAGACTTGTGATAACTTTTGGCCACGTGAGTTTCTGTTAACGGTATAGGATCTAGGATTCTATTCGTTCTCTACTCGATCTTCCTCCAAACTCACATCGTACTCACAAAATCTCTTTCTCTTTCTTATTCTTCATGCAGGATCATTATATAATACCATCTTTTCTTTTCGCTGACTGAGCCTTTCCCAATTTACCCCTTTCTCTTTCGGGCTTTCTACAATTCCCTTTACTTGATATGATATGACACCTGTGTCTTACTTTTAGTTTAAAACTTTTGAATTCAAGTGATTCTTAACACACATTCACAAATTTAAAGAAACTTGTTTTTGTCCGGGTTTTATTGCTGGTTTGGTTTAACCTGAATCTTAAAAATATTTTATTTTCCTCGAAAATAATAATAATAATAATAATAATAATAATAATAATAATAATAATAATGTCTTAAAAATTGAATTATTATTATTATTATTATTATTATTAATAAATAGAAAATTTAATTCTGTTTAAAATGAATACAAACATAATAGACTTATTTTCATAAATTTTCAAAATTCACATATATGAAAATTTACCCATATGATTACATACATCCAAAAATTATATGTGTGTGCTTATTTTAAAAGAAAATTAATTTTTAAAATTAATATAAGCATATTGATGTTAATTTAGTAAATTTACAAGATTAACATATGCTAAAAATTTACATATGATTAAAAATTTATAAAAAATGCTTTCAAATGCCAATTTCAAGCATAATTTTATAATTACTATGATAATATTTGTAAAGTAAATTATCATTAAACTTCCGACATCACACACTAAAGTTTGTCACTTTGTCCAAGTCCAGCAAAAGTAAAATAGAAAGCGCAATCGTTATAACAACATGCAACAGCGTTCGCTAAACATCCGTCCGTCCGATCAAACTATTCATGCGTGAACGGGTAAATTTATCCCCGGAAATAATTCTTGAGTAACATAACAAATTCGTCATAACAAATTAATACATTCACCTCCTCTCTACTTTATTTTTTATCAACCCGATGAAAAAAATTAAATATTTATTCTTATTGTAATGTGATAGTACCATTTTCTAATCTAATTTATTTATGTGTACTTAACTAAACTTTAAAACTTTCGCTAGGCTGACAAGATAAGGCACTTGCTCCATTGTTAAGAATTTTTAACTGTAATCCATTTGATAACTTTCACAGAAACTCATTAAATAATTGTGAAAAAAAATAATTAATATTCGTTTTAAGGTGCTTGAATGAAATAAATTCTGTAATGACTATTAAATGTAAAAAGAGGTGACTGGTTAATGATATCACTTTTAATTATAATCAACCTTATTTAGCGGACTACATTGCGAGGAATAAAGCGTAATGGAATTATTAAAATAACCGGAGAAATGTTGGTAGAGAGTGCGAGTAAAAAGTTAATAATGAACTGCAACAATATAAAAAAATAGAGTTTTTTATTTAAAAAAAAAAAAATTTATTGAGTTTATTAAATCTCAATTTATAGAAGTGAAAATGTTCTGTCTATTAATTTAAAATAAGGTTTAATAATTTTAAATACATCAGAAGTTTCTCAAAAATTATTCAATTGTATAATAAATATAAAAAAATACCACATTAAATTAAAAAAAAAAATTATTAATTAGTTTGTCAATTTAATTCAGACTTTTTATGGCTAATATTACCGCATAAACTAAATAACATTTGATAAATTTAATCTGAGTCTAAATTTATAGCCTCGAGTTGTTCAACGCCAATTAAAATTACTTATTCAGTTGAAATTGCAATAATTATAATAATTACAGTTGTCCAAATGATTCTATAATACTGTAAAATGTAATTTCTGATTCTAAAAACTTAAAATTTCAATTGAAAAAAAAAACCCGTCGCTTTTAAAGTTACAAATCTAAAAAAAAGCGACTTATGATTTCTACATAAATTACTCCGATGAGATAATACGTAAATCCTTTATTTTATGATAATAAAAATAAATCCTCCTATTCAAACATGCATAAGCTCAATTTAAATTCTACAATTATAAACGTAATTGCGCCTATTATTAAAAAAACATACAATACCAACTTAACTTTAATTAAATTTACAAATAAAAAATGAGTATTAGCATAATAAATATTTATTTCAATTTATGTAATTGTAATAAATAATATTTTTATTTAGATAACGATATACATTACACGTAATGTACGTTTTTATGTAAATTATGATATTATGCGAATCAATAACAGTCTCATTGAATGTAATTTGAGATCAGTCACGCGATACCATTGATTAGGTTACATATCAATACAAAGAATCCTTTTATATTATTTAAATGTTTATTGTATTGTGAATTGTGTGTATACTTTCGCGGAAATTAATTTTAAATATGCGGGTATTTTTGCATCACTGCATCTGGTCGCGTATGCACATGTTATATGCACTGTACTGTTATAGAACAAGAATTAACAATGTCTCTCTATGCTAAGTCGCGTGACGTCTCGCGTGTTTAATAATAATTGACAAAAGTGAATGCGGTTGTTTTTTCCTCAACACGCTGTTATTTAAAAAAAAAGATAATGGTCAATGGAAGGTGTAATTTGCATGAGATTTACCTCGATTCGAATCATGTAATTTGAAATTGTATTTAAAAATTTTTCACCTCAAAAAATGAAGAGAAAATTTAAAAATAAAAAAATGGGATATGATATATAAGGAGCGGTCGATCAAATAGTCGGGGCACGTATGAAACAGAGGGTATTACACAAGAACAAGAACAACAATGGTTAAGGTCTAGCTCGCTGCTCTATTTATTCTGTTCCTTAAGGAAGGTTATATCAACCGTACGTGATTTTAAATCCGCGGACGTGTTGACGCCCACGAGCTCGATATCAAGTGAAGGTGGATAAAGGAGTTAAGTGGACGTTGCTGAAATAAGGAAGCAAAGCAATAGTTGGTTTATCGTTTTAAAGGAACTTAATATAGGGATTGGATTGATGATCGAAAAAAATAAATCGAATGAAGAAATAATAAAAAGAAGGTTGAGATTGTGGAAGCGATTGCTTTTGCAGACTCGCACTTTCCTTTGGCGTGAGGCCAATTCTACGATTGGATGAGTCCAAAAGTTTTACTCGTCAGTCCGGACGTTACAACACTAACCTCTAATTCCATCAAACTTTCTCCCAATTTATAGCACTATGGTTAATTCCTGTTCCTAGTTTTTAACTTTTTCATCTTATGGAAGATCTGATTACAAATTTTCTCTGTTTTTATGGCGCGCTTTTTGATGTAATGCCAATTAGAAAGATATCTTCTAAAAAGTGTAATAAAAAATCTATAATACTATCTTTGTTTTGTTAAAAAATTTAATCAATTAAATTAAATAATTTTTTTTAATTAAAATAAAGATGTAAAATTAACAAGAATAAAATTCTGAAATAAAAAAAAAATTTTTTCAACAATTTAAAAATGTGATAAAAAATTGTTCAAGTTCGAATAAAAAATTTTGTAACTGATAAATTTATTTTGTTAAATAAAAAAAATGTCACTTCTAAAATAAATTAAACTAGAAAAAAAGGCGACAATAAAAATTTAGAATGAACTCTGATTGAAAATAAGCAATGCAATAAAAAGTGATTAAAAAATATTAAATTACCGAAATATAAATACAACTGCCAGCTAACATAATACATTGATAAAATAATCTTATTTATATAAACACATAAAATATAACACATAACTCTTAATGATATGAAATTACATATAATAAAATATAAAATAAACAGTGATCAAGTAACACGGTTAGAGTCTAGTCACGGCAGATAAATTTATTAATCTCACAGCAAACATAACAAAAAAGCAATATAGATACACGAGGACCGTGGCATAGAATATTGCCTCGCGAAAGAGTAATTCATTGGCTCGCGATTACCCCTAAAAATTCCCAATCGTGCTGTGGAGAAAAGAGTTACTGCTATCGAGTAATTTATCGCGAATAGACAGCATTTGACAGAAATAGACCCCGAGAACCAGAGCCAGAGAGTCAGAGAGAGATTGAAATGAAGAAAAAATAAAAAAGCAAACCAAACCGGACCCATCGAAAGCGTCAAAGAGAGACAAAATTAGACAAAGGGCCAATATCCTACGGCAAAAAACGTTTTTCATCTTCCGCATTCGTTTATTATACAGCATTTTAAAAAATTCAATCGACGAATACTGTCCGTGAAGCCGACCAGCGACGGGATAGGATTGCCCTTTATGTTTTTTATCGCCACAGACAACTCAATTCCGTTTTAATTGAGACCTTCAATACTATATAGCATCTCTCTGTCAATAAATAACTGTTTTTACATCAGTCGCCGACAGATGTCTCAGTTTTTAAGTATTGTCCGTGTACACATCGATGCATTACACTTATATTATATCAATGAAAAAATCTAAAAAAGTTTAAAGTAAAAGCTAAAGCTTGGGCTATAGAATTTCTGGTATTGAGAATGGATACTGTCACCTATAAAGGCACGCGCTTTTTGGATTTGTTCAATTTTCAATCACACTCGACGACCACCCGACGGGATTAATAAAGTGGGCGAGAGAGTTTCTAGACTCGTTTCGTCCAGAATCGAATTGCATTTGTCGAGTTTAGCTCCAGGTACGCTGAGTTTTTCACTCAACTTTACTCCTATATCCTTTTTCTGTACAACAAAGCTATAGGTATACATTCTCGACTCTGAATTCTCTATTGGTATGGGGGGTTCTCAGTTCCACACCCTGCTCGCTTTGCTCGGCATTTTCCCCGGCCCGGACACACATAAACACTAAAAAGATAAACGAAAATATAGATTATAAAACGTTAAACGAACAGCTTTGTAAACGCATCATCCTTTTGATGTTACTAAAAAATGAAAATGAAGATTAAAATGAAATAAAATAAAACAGTGAATGGATGGATGGATGGAGGATGAAACTGAGGCTGAGGCTGAGGGACCAGACACAGACCGCCGACTCACGTACTCGGCTTTGTTACATCAAGCCACATAATAGGTTTATAAAAATTCATGGTGACTCTATATCTACACCGCCCAAGTAATAGATAGTGCTGCTGCTATACATGTATTTTTAGGTAAAAAGACCCGGTTTGAATCTGAGTTTAGTTTGACGAGAGCTGTCGGACGTGTGTTTCATGTCATCTGAGTGGAGACAGGACTGAAAATGAAAATGAAAATTTTCTGACTCGATTTATGTGTATAAGTGTTTTAAATACACACCAATCTTTTTTCAGGGTATTACTATATATAATAGTAAAGAGTAGGGTATCACTCAAACCTCCTTCTATACAATGAAACGCACATAGATAGTAGATGAATATGAGCTTTCATTGTAATTTATTCTAGCTAGTCGACTATTCACCAAACCCGAGACCTTTATTTACGCCGGCATGACATCCTAAAGCGTTATAGTCATCCTGAAAGCTCTTCTACTGCACGAGAAAATTTATATTTCGCCGGATGACCGGAAAAGTCGGAAACTTTATTATTTTTATTGTTTCGTTTTTTATTGTATCTAGACTATGATTCATAATATGTACACAAATTTATTATATTCAAGTTTTAAGCTTTGACTGATGTCTTTTTTTATTTGTTCCAAGGTATCTTTGCGGGGACAAAGGTTAAGGCGCTAAATGTCACCGCGGATGACGATGATCTGGACGAGATAAATTTTGAGCAGTTCAAGAATACCATTAGGAGATACAGAAGGCTGATACCTTATATGAGTTATTATGTTGCTAATAATTATGTTAATCAGAATGGACAGTTTGTCGAGCCGGTCCTCCGGAAACCAGCGAGGCAGCGAACTGAACCGACGAGGAAACCGATACGTACTCCTGCTAAGGTATTAAGTTGGCTTTTTTATAAATAATTGACAGTTTTAGTAATAAAAAGTTATTTAAATTATTTTTTTTTTTTTGAGTAATTAAACATTTTTCAATTTTTTGTTACAAAAAAAAAATTTTTTAAGGATTAAAAAAAGTTATTCTTAATTTTTTGAGTAGGGACAAAAATTAATGAATTAAAAAATTTAATCTTTTTACAAAATAATGTGGAATTTTCAATGAAAAATTTTCATTATTATATGAAAAAAAAACATTGGTGTTTTTTTTTTATTAATTATTTTAATACACTGATAGAAGGATTTGTTCGTAGTTAAAATATTTGTTAATATTTAACAAATCATTGATTAGAGACTACTATTCAATCGTTAACAAATATTTCTCAGTATTTGAAAATATAATATTAAAATTTAATAAATGAATATCAGATTTATTAGATACAAATAAATCATTTTGAGTACTAAGAAATATTTGTTTAATACTAAAAAGTGGTCTCTAATAAATGATTTGTTATCTATTAAAAAATATTTTTTAATAGAAATAAATCCTTCTATCAGTGTATCAATGCAAAAAAGTAATTTTTTTTATTGAAAAAAATAATAAATAAATCAATTAAAACATAGCAAATTTTTTTTTTTAAAAATTTTTTGCAATTTACAAAATACTGAATTTGTACTATCATTCAGAATTTTTTCGCTTACTAATAAAACTTCAACCAGGCAAATATTAAATTTCTTTTACTTATAAAATTGAAAATTCATTACAGAAGTTTGTTAATTTAAAAAAAAAAAATCAAATTAAAATTTTCCTTATATTTGCTATAAAAAAATTTTTTTCAGGACCACCAAACAAAATTTATCCCATCAGTGCAGTTCAACCCAAAAGACATCGGAGGTGACACAAATTACTTCATGCCAGTGCGTTACAACGCAAAGTTAAACTACGAGGACCCAAGCTACCAAGAATATAACCGACGACCTTACGTAGAAATCACGACCCCGAGCCCGATCGCCGAGACGCGATATTATAAAGAACGCCCGCGCCCGTACAACCTCGTCTTACCGCAGTCATCACAACTAAAACAAACCCGGCGACCGGATTCCTATTTATTTGATTACGTAAGACCTAAACCAACCACAGTTAACTCTGAGTACTATCCTGTGGACTACGAGCCCATTCGGTACGTAAAAGTCGAGCCGACTTATCAACTGGGTCCTGTACCTCAACACCACCATCAGCACCAGCATCAACATCAACTTCAACACCAACAGAAGCACCAATTATCCCACGTACTTCCCACTAAAGTGCCGACAAATAGACCTATTTACATATCAAGAAACACTGGAGAATTAAATGAAGAAAATTTAATTAAAAGTTTACAATTGACTAATCAATTGCCCGAGATGTTAAATAGAGACAATATTGACTCTAGTATTAAAACGTTGGTTGAGATACTGGCTTTATTGCACGGAGCCAAGAAGGAGCTCAATATTGGCGACAATTCGTCGGTTCAAAAACTTTCAGTTCAACCTTCTGTCCCTGTTCCAGTTCCTGATCCTTCGCCAGCAGTGTACGAAGAATACAAGCCACATAAGCCTCAGTACTCGCGGCCGAAAGTCGTTACTGAAATGCGGTACCAGGCAACATCTCCAGCTCCTATTGCTGGTGAATCCTTGCGGTTCACTGCAACTCCACCTCCAGCTTCTGGTTCACCAGTGCAAAACAATGGTAAACCCAATATTTTGTATGATCGCAATAACGCGAAACCGCAACCAACTGAATACTCGGATTACCCCAGCGCTGAGGTTCAGTTGAAGAATAAAAATATTGTCGAGTATTATACACCTCTAATTCAGGATATTGATGAAAATACCAGTCCGAGCTACATGCCGAACAAGCTTAAGCACAAGGAGTCGGTTTACAAGATTGTTGAAGAACTTGAAGATGTCAATCAGGAAATAAACTCGCCAGTGACTCCACCGAAAAATTACCTTGATGGGATTGCAGTGGTGATGAATCCCAAGCCTGGGGTCACGACTGGAAAACCTGGTGTTGACTATCCGACGTATACGGATATACCTGTCACGGACTTTAGCTGCAAGGATCAGAGGTACAAGGGATTCTTTGGAGATCCTGCGACTAGATGTCAAGTAAGTTTGGTCGAAATTTTTTTTTTTTTAATGATAATTATAATAATTGAAGCTTAAATAGCGTTAAATATTATTTTTGACTGTAACGAAGTCAATTAGTTGATTCAAAAAATTTTTTTTTAATAAATTAGCACACTTAGAGTCATTGAAGAAAATTATAAAATAATTTTTTTAAAGCAACTTTTTAAAAATGAAATTTTTAGATAAAAAAAATTAATAATTAATATAAACTAGCAATCTTGCAGTCATTATGTGACTGTCATGATTTGTGAACTATAAATAAATAAAATTTTGCTTTATTAAATAATTACTTTTGTTAAATTGCACTGTACTTTCTTAACTATTGACGCTTTAAAAGATATAAGCTCATCCCGATGTTACACTCATCAAGAGCTTTCATTTGAGTACCCACATGCATTTTTGATATATTTTTCATATATACATATATATAATATATGAAAAATTGATGTGGGTACTCAAATGAAAGGTCTTAATGAGTGTAACATCGGGACAAGCTTATATCTTTAAAAATGTCAATAGTTCACGAGATACAAGGTCATTTCTTAATTATATATCTAGAGATAGAGCATTTTCGAATGCAGCCTGAATATTTATCATCATAAATTGACTATTGGTGAGAATGATATGAAACCATGAAAAGGCACAACGCCATTTTATTATATAAATATACTGGCCACAAAATTTTTACTATTCTCTTAATAATATAGATAAAACCTGAAAAAATTTAATAAATAAATAATTAACAATTGATGATTTTAGGTTTGGCATTATTGTGATTTAAACGGTGGAAAATCATCATTCTTATGTCCAAACGGAACAATCTTCAGTCAAATAGCACTGACGTGTGACTGGTGGTTCAATGTAAAGTGTGAATCTACAACCCAGCTGTACGTCCTAAACGAACGTCTCTACAAATTTATTCTACCTATAATGCCGAAGTTCCCGGAGGACTTTAGCGGTCCCGAAGTTGACCGCTACCTCGAGCTTAAATTCAAGGAGATGGAGGCGAAGCTCAAGGCCAAAAAACTAAAAAAAGCTATGGAGAAAAAAGAAAAAGAAAAACCTCAGACTCCTGAGCCAGAATTAGAGCAAGAATCAGCTCCAGAGCTAGAGTAAATAAAATGTAAAGCAGTTGGATCTTGCGCGGTTGCCATTTAAATTAATTTTTTATTTTTCGAGTTGTCCTAAAATTTCTATTTAAACGGGTATTTTTATTTATTGAGTATTCGTTAATATCTCTAGTCATACGATTTATTAAAAGCTGGATCCACGACAGCGCTATTCAGTACCTTTTACTTTTAATTTATATTTTGTTAAACGGTGGCGGGTTTTTATTTTTTTGACTGAGTGTAATTATCGTGTATGATATTAAGTATTTTCATTTTTTTAAATAAAATTATTTGTCCACAAAAGCTAAGCATGGATTATTTATATTAATAAAAATTGACTCACCGACTGGGACGTGTAAACGTTGTTCAGCATATCTCGGACTCTGCCATAAACGTCCTGGAGCTCTTCCTGCAGCGATTGATTCTAAAAAAATTTATCAAGTATTTTTATTAAATATTCAAGTAGCTAATTGTCCAATGTAATTTAATTAATGCTTACCATGGTATGTAGAAGCTGAAGGTTGTGAGAGCTGTGGCTCTGGGCGACGCATTTTTCACAGCAAGGCTTTTTACAGTCGATGCACCATTCTGTGAGACAATTTGTCAGGTGTATTGAACACGTTACGGATCTAGACTCTGCATTTGTTTTCGGTGGATTGATTACCAATTTTTCATGGTTTTTATTTACTTTATGCTGATGTACCTGATGAAATTTAAATAAAGTTGATTTAAATATTTTGTTTGAGTTATTTTATGTTTGTTGAATACTGAACTGATTATGGATGTTAATGGATGAAAAACAATTTATGAAAATTATATTGAATTAAAATTACAAGAGATACTTATTAAAAATTATTATTGTAAACTTAATATTTTTTTAAATTGTTGTAAATTATAATAATTAAAACATTGTTTCATTTGTAACAAATAAAATAATTATTTACTTATTGTTGTTATTATTATTTAAAAAAATAAATATAATATGAAAAATTTGTTTAATATAATGAAAGAATGAAAAGTGTTTAGTAATGTAAGTCTTTTAAATAATAAATCAAAATAACAATGTGAAAATATGAATTATATAATTTAATTAGTAAAAATTAATGAAACTTTAAGATAATAATAAATATTTAAATAAGTTATTAATTAAAAAAAAAATAAACAAACCTGAGTGAAGCAACTGCTACAAAAGTACGCATTGTTACATCCTAAACATTGAGCTGTAGCAACACTACTGCATTCATTACAAAAATCTGCAACGACTAATGAAAAAAAAAAAAGTTTTTTTTCAATTATGTAAGCAATAAAATTTGACAAAAATTTTCAATCATAAAAAATAAAAATATTTGTAAAAAAAATTTTTAAGAATCAAAATGTTACCTGAAGCTTCGACATCATTAATTTGTGCCTTTAAAGACTTTTCAAACTTAAATGTGTCGTCCTTGATAGGCCGGACATTTGAATGTGGTTTGCTTTTATAAAGATAGACCAGTCCATGGACGTAGACATTCATTGGAAACAGCGTCTCGACATCATTATCACCACCAGCAGCGGGATCAGGTCCATCAGCACAAGCAGCGCATGATTTTTTTACTTCCAATCGAGAACAACTGTCGCATATCGTGTGTCCGCAGTTCAGCAGTACTGGCAGTCTTTTTTTTATGTGTGGATGATCTAAATATTTAGTCATAACAAAAGAAAATACAATAATTGGAACTTCAGGATAAAAAAAAAATTTTTCTAAGTCTAGAACTTTCTGTATGATACATTTAAATAAGAGGCATTTAATTTTTGACATTTTTGTATGATATTGTGATCAGCAAAAATTTAAAATTTTATAACAAATCAATTAAAATAAAAAAAAACTTCTAATAATGTTCACTAATAATTTTTTATTTAATTTTTACATGTAGAATTTTTTTCATAATTATTTTGTTATAAAATTCTAAAAACTTTTCACTTGAAATTATTTTCAATTGTTTTCATGATTTAATTGTAATGAAAATTAATTCAGCATATCAGTATTTAATAATTTTAAGAATTTGATAAAAAATAAATTGTGGCAAAAAAAAATTAGATAAAAAAATTGACATGTAGAAATTGAAACAATTTAATTAAATACCTAAATCTCAACAAAAAATATGACGTCATTGTAAAAAAATATTTATAAACGATAAAGAGAAGTAATGAAAATATTTGTACTATGCTGAGAATTCTAAGAATCAGATTACAGCATGCGAGAAGACAAAGGGTTTTATTTATACATTTACATTACCTGATAAATAGAAATTCGTCGAACATAAGTAACATTTTATGTGTTTAACTTTAGTCTTCGGATAATTAAGACGTCTGCTTGGTACTTTGTCACTTGATTTAATACTCATGATTAATTTGTAATTAATCACATTTAATTTATAAATTAATTACTAAGGAATGCGACTAACATCCACAATTTAAGACGTCCGAGTTACGAATGTGGTACGGCAATCGGTTCGGCGGTGTAAATATTGAACAATGTGCCGCGACAAGCATGAACTCGCTGTCGAGTGTTTTTTGTCTCGACCAATCCCGTGAGTTCTCTTGAATAGGCTCAGCGGGCTCGCCATTTTGTGGCGGGAATAATGATTTGAATGGCGGGAAAATTTGAATGTTGAAAAAAATGTTTTTTTTATTTTATACTTTTTTAATATAATTAAGTATTTTTATTTTTATAAATCTGAATTATTTTCATTTTTTATAAATTAATAACTCTTTAAAAAAATAATAATCATTAATATTAAACAATTAAAAAAAAAAATTAATAATTTAAAAAAATATTATGAGACTGAAGTTGACAGACATTAGAAATTCTTTTAGAATTTTATAACAATTAAATTATTATGAAAAAAAATTTAATAAAAAAATTCTACATGTATAAATTAAAATAAAATGATTAGTGGAAATTTTTAGAAACATTTTTTTTATTGTAATTGATTTATTATAAGATTTAAAAGAATTGACAGCTGTCAGATAATTTCATAAAATATTAATGAAATATTTTTTTAATGAAAATTCAATAAATAATTAGTTAAAAAAAAATATCAACAGTGAAATTTGAATTCTTACATTTTATAAAATTAAAATTAAAAAAAAAATTGATAATTAACTTTAATTTAAATTTCTATAATTTATAAAATTAATTAATTTTATTAAAAAGTTAGGAAAATAATTTTTAAAAAATAAATAAATAATATTTAAATTGAATATTAATTATTACAGTGCATAAATTAATAATATTAAATTTCAGGCTTGAAATTTTCTTCATAATAAACAATAATTTTCAAAAAAATCAAAATAAATGGCTTAATAAAATAATATCTGATAGAAGCGACAAAAGCGAAGTCTGATAAGTAAAATAAAAAAATTAGCGAAAAGGGATTGGCGATGTAGCTATGCGACGAGTGCCATCCGGGTCTAGGTGCGGTTGAGAATCCGTTATGAGTCCCAGCGAAATGCCGTTTCAACGGTAAGAAGACAGGAAATAAAAGTGCTTGAGGGAAAACCAAGTACTGCCAGGCTAGCGAGTATTATCGTCGAAGTAAAGGCATCCTCTCCTCCTTAGTGTAAGCACTGTCCTCCTCTCCACTCATACTCGCAATCAGTTCTACTCTGCCCGATACCACGTGGGACATAATAGATAAGACATGTACTGAAGGCCAATCAAAATAAGAACGCAACTTCTTCAAGTCCAAGGACTTGACCAGAAAATCATACAAGCTAATTTTTATCAAGATCACAAATTTCACTGATGGAAAATTTTATTTATTTATAATTTTTGTAAAAAAAAAAAAATAAATAAATATAGTTGAGCTCCGAGTTGGCTGAGTCGATCTGAAGAATGTTGAACGCAGAAAGTCTTGACACCAGATCTATAATCAGAATCAGAAGCAGAACTAGACCCGAGAGCTCTTGTTCGCTTAAAGTTGGACAAAGTTGATTTTCTCAAACTCAATAGCATCCCGGTACACGTCTACGTCTGTTTTACTTTCTACCCTCTCTCATTTCTCTTGATCTCTCGCTAGTTGCTTTTATTTCAAACTTTTTATCATTTTATTTGAAAGATCCCACCTATTTCTTCTTCTCTCCTTCTTTCTCTGAGGTACAATACTTAGTCATAATCCCCGCGCTTTTTAAACTTTTTTACGTCTTTTTCAGGTATATAGTCACTCATTCTCGGTTCAGAGCTCAGCGACATCGATTTCCCCATAAAAATTCTGCAAGCCCGACTCTATCACTCGGCTATTACTTCCTGCCGGGTTTCCATCCTCGCTTCACGGATTTTCAGAGAGCAATCTCGTCGAACGACCGTACCACCGCATACCACACACACCGATGTGGATAATGACGGCTGCTGGAGACTAGTTTTCAGCCCAGAACCCGCAGCTAAGACATGTCTGCAGGACTTGTATTTTATCATGCCCATCTTTCTCTATCACTGTAAATCAAATCGTTACTCTGTTCTATATAACGATGAATTTAATTTATGGACTTTGGATCCCTGGATGAGATTACTTGAATTGTTGATGGAAAGAAAATTCCAAAAATTGAGTTTTCATTTTTTTAGCTATTGGAGATTGAAATTTTTTAATTTTAAATTAATTTTTATATTTATTTAATCCAAAATTTAATTATATTAATTATAATCTAAACATTTTAAAGTAAAAATTAATTTTTATATTTTTAATTTCAAAATTTGTGTCATAAATTAATTTTATAATTTATAAAACAAAAATTTTAACGTAGAAATTCATTTTTTTTTTTTTGTTTTTAATTTCAAAAATAATTTTTTTTTTTGTTTTAATTTTTGCACTATAAATTAGTTTTATAATTTTTAATCCAAAAATTAATTTTTTTTTATTCTTTTAATCCAAACAACTGAGCCAAAACTTAATTTTAAAATTAACTATCGCAAAATTTAATTTTTAAATTTATTATCCAAAGATTATAATTAAAAATTCAAAATTAAAAAATTTTTAACCCCGTTGAACTTGCACAAGGTAAAAACTTTACTTTTCCCAGTATAGACTGGCGCAGACGAAGGACCTATTGTATACATATTATTCACACAAGCAGCCTTTCGAGGTGCTTACACGTACATGTTATACACACCCTTGAGTTGACGGTAGTTCACTTGAGTTGGTTCTAAATTCAATTCTGTTGACCTAGATTAGGGGCTACGTGACAAGACGGCAAGTTGCCTCGTGGTTTCAAGAGCATCTTCCAAGGGACGACGCTGATGATTATGTATAGATAATACATTATTCTACATAATTACACTCTGTACACTAAAGTCATAACTCTACTCTATCCTTCAAAATTAATCACAACAGAAAGACTACCCCATATTTATTTTATTTTATGTATTAAAAATTCCTAGCGAATAAATATTAATTCACTGAAATAAATTTTTTTTCACTGCTATAGATCAATGAATTTATTATCCGTCAATTCACAGCATGAAATAGTGACCAGCCAATAATGGAGAAGTGCACGCATAAAACGATTTTGTTGAAATAACAAACTAACTGAAAAATATGTCCTGGTAACAAATGAGTATGTTTATAGCAACAAATCCATTAGTTGCATTAACAAAAAATTTCAAGTTGTACTAACAAACCAGTTTGTCAAATCACAAAATAAATTTGTTGCTCTAACAAAATTATTTTGTTGCTATCACAAAATGACTTTGTTGCTGTTACCAAGTGATTTTGCTGCTGTAACAAAGTGGTTTTATTGCAATAACAAAACTAATTTGTTGCTTTTTAAATGTATACATATAAAATTTACTGTAACAAATTTATTTGTTATTCCAACAAATTCTCATTGTTATTTTTACAAATTCACTTTATTACTTCAACAAATTGTCTTTGTTAATCCAACAAATTCTCTTGGTTATTTTAATAGAATAATTTTGCTGTTTCAACAAAAAAATTCGTTATACCAAAACTAAAGTATTTTGTCGAATCACCTAAAAGATTTTGCTATAGTAACAAAATTAATTTGTTGTTATAACATATCAATAACTTGTTATAACCTAAATTTTGTTATTTTAACATATGATTTGTTATCTTAACAAAATTTTTTTCTGCGTGTGGAAAAGGAAAAAATGCAATAAATTAAAATAAAACGCTTTTATTCAGAATTAAAAAATTCTAAAAATTTTTCAGGTATTATCAATAGAAAATTTTTTTAAATTTAATCTAAAAATTTTTCCTCAAAAGCAAACACTAGTACAAAAAAATTTACTAAATAATTCATAATTTTATTCAACGCATCAAGCAGAAACAAATTTGGTAGTCTCCAACGCCTTCCCCTTGATTGATTAAATTTTCATGGGATTTAGCCCGTTGCCGATTATTATTATTTATTCACCAACTATAACTGACCAGCGGACGAGCTTGGTGCGAAAAAAAAGGACTCATATTCATATTATATCTGTAAATATATTTTAAATTTATAAACGGTAGGCAGTTACTGAAAAATTCACAAGAGAGATACGAAATAAATATGTGAGCAAAAATAAAATTTTTTATCCTTTATAAATAATTTTATCTCATGAATAAAAATAAAAAAAACAGTCAAGTTGAATGATTTAGGTGTGAAAAAACAATCGATAAAAACAGTGACTAAACATTTACCAATAATTTAATTATAAAACAATAAATTAGATTTTAAAATCCATCAAATGACTTTGGTCGCTAAAAATCGATGTTGCGACGTCAAAAAGTTTTTGCTAATTTTTAAACCGTACAACCAATAACGCCATCAAAATAACTACAAGTTTAAAAGAGAGTGAAATTTTAGCGAATAGATGGATGGCAAATTCAACCGAAGAATTTAAATTTTTATTCGACCTGGACTGGCATTGCTAGCAAAATTTACAACATTTGCCTCTGCTATTAAATTCATTGCATACTCCGACAGTGGGTGTGTGTATAAGTATGTGTGTCGGTCTGTTTTTTGCATTCTTGGTTACAACGCGATCGATTCAGACCTAAAAAGCCCTAGGATGACCTACATAGACATTATTATGACAAGCGCTGTCATTTCTGTCTTCCAGGGTTGTTAGAATGAGTTTATATCACGGTTTTTAAGGGAATAATTTTTTTTAAACAAAAAAATTGAATCATAAATGGAAAAGGACAAAATAGAAAATTTAGGATTGGAAGAGTGAAATTAAATTAAATTTAATGTCATGAAAGAAAACTCAAAAAAGAAAATTTTAAATTAAAAAATAAACGAAAAAAGAAATAGGAAAATAAAAAATTTAAAAAGAAAAACTTAAAGATGAAAAAAAAATAAAAAAAATTGGCAAAATGAAAAGGCCTAAAAAAATTTTAAATAT